CTCTTCCACTGTTTTTCTTGAGTCGACCTCCTCTTACTCTCTCCCTTTCCTCCGTACGTCTACATCATTTTTCTTTTTCTCCGTCCCATCCCTCTCCTTCCTTCTCTGTCCCCCGTCTGGCCGAGAGTTTCCCACGCGTACAGAAGCTTGATGCTGTCAGTGGGTTGTTTAGTCTCTGCGCCGTTTCAAAGGTTACTGCGAAATATATTGCGTCTGTTCACTTTACTGCTTCTCCCTGGTTTTCATCTTGCTTACTGTCTGCTTTCATACTTTGTGCTTCTTGGTCTTTTCATGTTCCCCTCTAAAGTATTTTATTGTTAGCTTTACTTGGTTAATTACTTATATTTTACGACCTTTTGCTTACTTGTGCTGTTATCGCTGGTCCTAAAAGATTAAGCACTGTGAGATATTTTCTGTTGTGGCATCCCAACGGTTTAAGTTTAATTTTTCTATTGTATCGTGTTGAAATATATTAGTGGTTGTTGCTGGAAAATAATTAATGATAAAACGTTTAGTGCTTATCGTTCGTGTGGAACGTCACAAATGATTTCGTTTTTCACTAACATTGCTGATTATCCAATAATAGGAGACTTAGGCTCATGTTATTGAATTAAAGTAATATTCAAATATAATATTCATTAGAAAATCTTTTTATTAAATAGAATATAAATAATTCATTATAAAACAATGAAGAAACAGTAACAACTCGTATACATTGAACAAAATGTAAAATATTTTCAAGAACTTGAAAGGAAATTATAGTACATAAAATATTTGACTCTGTGAATAAAAATCTGTTGTTGTGTCCATGTTTACGTTCTGCATGTTACTAGACAGTAGTGCTCCTCAAACCCTTGGCTATTCATTACTGCACGAGAACATTCCACAAATTTTGAAATAATCATATTCAATCCCATGACCCGAATTATTATTTACGTATAATGAAAAGTTATTGAAAATAAATTATTCATCCTCTCATTCTGAATACGAAAAATGTGAAATATGTAGGGAACGGGAATCAGAAAATGTTTCATTTTTTAATTTAAAACGAAACAAAACAAATGTTTTTCTGAACGTTTTTCGCGGTACATTCATAATTTATTCTCAAATGCGATTTAACCAACCATCGGGAAGAACGTAATCGAAAATAAACCGAAATGATTTGCAGATCAGCGCCCTACTACGAAATCATATTGTTGGTCATGTTAAATGCCATTAATTCACAAATAATTATAATTTCGGCTGTAAATAAACCCTGTAATTAATATTAACACCGAATTACTGAAAAAAAAACAAATGTTTAGATTTAGTCCCCACAGAATTTGAGCATTTTGTCTCGTACCAGACACCGAATATGGTAATGATATTGCTCTTAACAGCATAAAAAAGCGCTAAGACTACATATTATCAAATTTACTTCAACAACATTTACAAACTAGTCTATAACTTACTATATTTCCAAATTTCCGGAACCGTATATAATGTTGTAACTTGCACTAATTTTGATAAAATTCAATGCTAACGCGAATCAGATACATCGAATCAGTAATAGAACGTTCACAATATGGGCTTCACAGAGTGATTTTTAAAACTGCGCCTTGCCGCACTAGAGCGCCGAAAGTACAAAATGCACGGCCGTCTCGCGGTCCTTGCCGCACGCGCACACTGGCCGCAGCACCGGGAGATTTTCAAGTAATACATTTGATATATTCTCGCGAAAACGTCGCAATGGCGCAGCCCGGATGGCCCCGGGGCACATCATACCAAGTTCAATGCGTTTCAGGCTGAATTGAAATTTCGTCAGGGCCGCAACTCGTGCCGCGTCTTCATGAACAACGAGATTTCTACAATTGTACGTCCTACGATTGGAAGTTTTAAGTAGATTAATATACAACAGCACATTGGACGGAGCGGGGCTATCTAAAGAAATCAACATGCGAAAACGTGTAGCGAAAAAATGACGTTGATTGAGCGTTCCCTGAGAGGCAAGGGCCTTGTAATGTTTGTACGTGTTCGTTTGGGGAGCTGACATGCAGATGAGCGCCTTGGTTTGAGGAGCACCACGGCCCTATCCGGTGGTCGTCGTGAGGGTGGGGTGGGATGGGGTGGGCGGGGCGATCAGCGGCGGAGGTCGAAGTCGTGTCCGTAGGCGTGGCCGTAGGCGTAGACGTGCGAGGCGTGGGCCGGGGCAGGCGCGGGCGCGGCCGGGTGCAGCGCGTGGCCCGACTTCTTGACGACGGCGTTGAAGCCGTTGTGCGGGTCGGCGGTGTACTCGACGGTGCGCACGCTGCCGTCGGGCTCCACCAGGCTGTAGTGGCCCTTCACCACGCCGCCCTCTCGGTGCTCGCTCTGGCTCTTCACGTCGCCCGTGTGCGGGTCGTGCACCGCGTACTCGAACTTGTACGACGGGTGGGCCTGCGCACCACGCACACACACACACACACACAGCACTTAGCGAGACGTTTTGGAAATCGGAGAAAAGTAGGGATGAGTAATTTAGGAAATAAAAGACTAATACGGAGATTAACAATTTTGGAAATCGAGGTCTAATGCGGAGAGTTGTGGAAATAAATGACTAACGAGTTGCAGAATAATATGGAAAGTGAAGGACTAAAGTGGAGAGGAGTAATTTAGAATACAAAGAGTAGCGCAAAAAAATGTAGTTTTGAAAGTACCGAGTCATGCGGAGATGAGTTATTCTGGATATCAATAGTATACGGAGAATTAATCATACAAAATCAATAATGTCTGTTTATGATTATTGGAAATCACTCGTAGTACGGGGAAGAGGAAACTCAATGCGTAGGTTTGATGAGGAGTTGCTTTCAAGTTCATAACTACAATTTGGTTTATTAGAAGAAAACTGCGCAGTAAGTAACGTACGAGTATAGATTACGGTGAAGGCATGCAGCAATTTATATTTGTGTTTCTTGTAAATCGTTTCATTGCTCAGAGAGGCGAGCATAATTAAGAAGTACAATGAATTCAAAGATAGCTTATCAAAACAATTGTGGAAAATATTGTTATTTATTTTCGATTCGGTACTGAATCATATACGTTCTGGAAAATATGTGACAATGAAAAAATGTATTCGTAAAGAACGATTCTGAGATTGAATGATCATAATGTTTATTTACATTTACGTAGATGTGTTATATTGTGATAAGAAAATGTCTTTATTGGCACTAGGGCAAATGGTAGTGTTTACCATTAATATATTAATCATCCAGTTACAAGTTTACGCAACGTTTTTTAAAACTTATTTTAAATCATATGAAATTATTTTCCATATGAAAATTCAGTTGGCTGGTTGGTAGGTTTTTATTTATCGTATAGGTTGGATTATAGGATGACACAGTGATTCCATTTCCTTACTCAGGACCTCAACGCAATTCTCCTCTGAATGATATGTGACATGATGATACAAAAGGTGTTGAGCATGACTCTGGAGGTTGTGGTGCACAGTGAAAATGAGAGTCCACAAATTCCTCATGGAATACCCGGTTCCCTCAATTAGAAAGCCTGCGGGCTGCCACGCCATCGCTCGCCCTACCTATGTAGTTGGTAGTGCGTGTACTCACGTAGTAGTCGCCGGCGTATCCGTGGGCGTAGGCGCCCTCGTAGCCGCCCTGCTCGATGCCTCCGTAGTCGCCCGCGAGGAGGGCGTGGCCGTCGACGCTGCCGATGACGCCCGCGCGCGCCACCGCCGCCGCGGCGGCCAGGGCGCAAACGGCCAGGAGCTGCACACAAAAAATGAGACATCTGAGTGACTATTCCACTCGTGCATTACAGGCCAATAGTGCTTCAGGGTTTGTATGAGATCAACCAATGAGAACTGTTGTTCTCCTCGAACCGGCTTAGATGGGTCAAGGCATCAATTGATGCCGCTGCAGGGCCTCGGCCCGGAAGGTCCTAGGGTTCAAATCTTGACTGTGGCAGAATTTTCGACAGTAGCCGGACAGCTAGTGGGGGACAATTGCAGTGGTTGGCCGCTCCGATCGGTAGTTTTCCATGGTTTCTCTAATCAACATCAGGCGAATGCTGGAGCAGTACTCTAATAAACGGGCAATGGACAGCGCGCGATCTTTCCTTATCCCTTACTTACACACATTTACTCTCACATGCAATACTCTACCACACGTGCCGGGGAATCTGTCGGGAGGTTAGATCTCGCCCCGGCTGGGGTGGTGCCTTGCTTGTGGAGATACCTGGCTGAGAAAACACCGCAAGCCGACGGGTAGGTCGGCGCAGGAACTCACCATCGAGCGGAGAAAGATCACCGCCACCTCCAGCTATACAAACATGCACTACACTTATGGGTTTAAAAATGTTATCAGTTGATGCGCCCACTATCGAATCACTAATCAATCAAGCAATAATTCGCCACGAAGAATATCATTTGCTATTTAGCTTCTCCTCACATCATATTAGTGCTCGTTATATCTTCGTAATAGGAATCTAGTTGCAGTGAATTCATTCTTTTGTATCGTCATGCATTGTTTTGTGCGCTGGGTTTGGATTCATTCAGTTTCTAGTACTTGCAAAATGAAAACAAAATATTCATTCTTAACGAACGACATCTTTCACATGAATTATTCATGGTGGGTTACAAAAGAAGGAAATATTGCCAGTTACTGGACATGATAATAATTCCTTTCTGAATCTTTAATTATCAACATCTATAAATAAACAAAGAACGTCATTCAAAATTATTAAAAATGTGCTTCGACATTGCACGTTTCGACATCGTCATCATCAACCCTAATAATTTTAAATTTTGAAGTTAATAAAATCCCATCAGATTCCAGTTTTCAGAATTGTGTACTCTTTAATAACGGTGTACAGTATTTAAGGATATGAATTATTTTAAACTGGTTTGTTATGGGTATCTTTTGTTATTCCAAAACCACCTGCACTATTACAGTACTACAAGAGATATTCATCATGTACTGAAATATTATGGTAAATTACAGAAGATTAATTTTAATTAATTAGTTGATTCCATTCTTGAAATAGTCTTAGTACATCTCAGCGTGCTATATCTCGCTGTGAAAGGTCTTAAATAAATTCACTCCTTGCGCCGCGTGAATTTATCTCGAGAATTTCCGAAGGAACTATTATTAATTATCAGTTATTTCGTGTACCCCGGTGTGCCAACTGTCACGGTCATTATTCCCATTAGCGAAGTGCACGTTATATCCCGGGCTATTCGTCCTATCCCTGCTGCAACGTGAGATCCGACACTGTTGGCGGGCTTTTCACCTCCTGATATCTGCGGGGCTGTGCCGCCGCCGGGAGTAGCACTAAGCTTCCGACAGGTCTCCCGACGTATGTGCTAGTGTAGTGCTAGCGCGCGAGCGCACCTGTGTGTGTGTAAGGAGGAGGGAATAATGATGAGGAAGAAAATATCGCACACGGTCCATGCAGTGGCGATGGCTACAGTCGTAGCCCTGGAGCCATCTCAGCTTGTGAAAGCGGTGAGAGCTCGGAGAAAATACGGAAACAACGGAGAGCGATCGATCTCCGACGATGCGAGGATTAGCATCGTGGAATGGGTAGAGATCACGCAATATGAGATGGCTCCGAAAAAAGCTTTGGAGGAGGCGTTGTGGAATGGATAGAGAACCCGAGATGAAATGGGTTCGACGATGCTTTAGAGATCGTGGAATGGGTAGAGAAAATGCGAGATGAGATTGCTTCAACAGTGTTTTGGTGAAGGCATCGTGGAATGGCTGGAGAAAACGTGGGATGATGAGGCTCCGACAATGCTTTTAAGAAAGTATCGGTGTATGGGTAGCGTGACTGCGAGAGGAACCGCCATCCGACCGTTAAGTGCTGTAGATTGGAAGCTGTCACTAAAATAATTTTGAATTTGATGCTTTTAAAATTAAATCATGTATCTTTGATAATTTCTACCGCAATTCAAAATTGGAGTTAAAAAGAATATTAATTATAAGGGAGATACTAGATACGATACAAAAATTCAGCACACTTGCTCGTCAATTAAAAAATGATTAAGATTATTTTACTCACTTTTGGCTTGGAAACAGATGCACTATTTGCTTACAAGATATTGCTTTAACTGTTTTTCGTACAGGTAATACAATTCCCTTTTACTACGGCTTAATATGAAAAATATTGACTCACAAATTGAAATTTGAACGTATGTTTTAAATTTAATTTGAACACTGTGCGAAATGTGGAATTGGAAATTGATCTAAAACTTTGATTAACATGTTTACTATTAACGCCACTGCAAAAACTACACCCACTCGTAGCGTTGAAATATCGTTTCACTTTCCCATTTCCGGCCCGGCCAGATGCCCAAGCTCAGCCCAGCTTAGCCCATTTCCGGTCCGGCTCAGTCCAGCCCAGCCCAGCCCAACCCAGCCCAGCGCAGCCTAGCCCGGACCAGCCAGTTGCCCAGCGTCTCCACAACGAGCGCTACGGCGCTGCGGCATGGGAGCCTAATGTGCCAACCGTCTCATGACGTGAGGCACGCGGGGTCTGACTGGCCTGACACGGCAAAATTGTCTTAACCTCCGCTACCAACCTTGACAAAAATTGTAGAAACATTTCTTGGATACTCCTCCGGCTCCTAGCTGTGCTGTGAAGTGAACACGAAAGGAATAAATGTAGCGCCTCTCGCATGTAGTATGTGGAGGAAATTAAACGTGTTCAGTCAATGGCATCGGTAGACAAGAAGATCGGTCACACCATATATACTATTACGTAGAGGAAGGCGTTTTATGTTTGAAATATATTGTTATTTCAGTTCTTAAAATTAAGTGAACATGTATTCAGTCTCAAATTAAAATTCAGAAGTAGCAATAGATGACTCAAGACTGTGTACCTGACGCACGCATGAACAATGTGATCACCTGATCTGCATGGTGATATCATTGGTGGGTTCAGCGTAAATAAAACGAAGTGTAGCGTCACTGGACTGTTCAATAAATAACATATCGTCAATATCGAGTATCTATTATTTACCCGCGAATTTTTATTTTAATTAATCGAAAAAAATATACTCTTTTTTCGAGACAATTCAATTAAATCGTTTTCAAACGTAGAAAAACACGTTTTGAATTAAAATCTTTCAAAATCCATTTACTTCAGTACGCTGCATATTTCTCTGGATTCACGTGGTTTTCAGTCTGAAGATTCAAGTTAGACATAACTCAAGCTTCTCGAACACTGTGAGCGAATGAGAGAAATAAGGAGTTATAATATTTATTTTAACTATTTTCATGTTATTTTTAAAGAATAGTCGATTTATCGAAATGCAGGTTCATTTTCTGGCAGGTGAAAGGCAAATCCATTTTGGCTCTCTGTTATATTCAACATGTGTTATAGAATGCCGTCTTCATTACCTACAGCGATCGATTACCGACAGAGTGGTTAGTATTTAATTACTTACAGTTAAGAAATATATTTGAAAAAAAAACATTTTAGTTTGTAGTTTAAGTATTGAAATCTTTTTGAGATGTTGAATATTGAAATAAACTTTCTTGGCATTTCTCATCTCGCGGTACTCCTTCGGCAATGTTTTGTGAAAATGGAACAGAATAATGGAACGAGTAAAATTGAAGCTAGGTGCAGTATTTATGAGATGTATTTGACCGGCGATCAATCATTACGATCTACTGACCGACTGTTCGGAACTCAGCGTTCGTTGGGAGACATCGATAACATTGATATTTGCCCTCGCTCGTTGACATTAAGTGTGCATTAAATGTTCACTGACCTACAGCTCTCGAAAATACTTATGTGCATTTTGAATCAAGCCGCGTATCCATTTGAGAATGGCGTAGTTGGGTGAAAGATGATCCCATTCCTTGAACCAACAACAAAGGTCGCTGTAGGATATATGAACGAATATTTTCTCCATTGACTGCAGTGACATTTTTTCTCCAAGTACATTTTATACTTCACTAGTTCATTATTGTTTGTTTATGGACCTGAAACAAAACATGCAATGATATGCTTAATACACTTATGAACCTTTGAGATTCTTTGGACTCGGGGGCTTTTTCAATACTTTGTGCCCGCTCCGGTACCTACTCAACAAGTAGCCGTCATTTTTTTTTATGAATTCGCGTTATGAAATTTAAGAAATAGGAAAATACAAAAATAACTCGATATAAATATTTTGATGAAATAATATGAAAATTGCAGTCTTGGATTGTTCCCATGGATTTAACACTCCTATCAGTCGCTCTTGTTTTAGTGTTTTAAATTACAATTTATTTTGTAGGTGTTTCTTGAGTGGTAGTAATAGGTGTAGAAGGCACACGGTTAACATGATCGAAATATTTTCTGATGTAATGGAATAATAGGGCTCAAAATAATGTAACCACATTGAGCAATCTCTGTCATATAAATTCTCAAATGTTCATTGTAAATATTATCCTTCAAGTTTACTAAAGTTTCTGGATTATTTGCGTATGCTTACTCTTTCCCTTTAAGACTTGTTCACAAATAAAACTCACTAGTGGATACGTGCGGCGATCGCGGTGCGATTATTTGTGGACAGTTTGTTAAAGAGAATACACCTCGCTGAGCACTTCACACGTCTGAACGGGTCTCTTTTACCGACAGCAGACAATAGTCAACGATACATAGTCAAAGGTCCTCAACCATAGATGACAAGATGGGAACTGAAATGGCAGTGACAATGGAGCAGATTTGCATTTGCCATTTCTTCTACTTGGCATATGCGCCCGCTATTGACTGTTTATTTCGTGCGCCACCCGGTATGTTTTATATTGTGTTAGGTGTAGAAATAATTTTAGCAATTGCTTAAAATGCGAAATGTCACCAAATGCTGGAAAAATAGTAATTCCTTGTTTGGAGGTCGGTGCAGTATATTTCTGAAGATTTTCAGTCTGCGAGATAATGCGATATCGATCGCAAAATGCGAAATCACGTGCAAGTGGTCGTGAATCTGCGAAATAGTTGCCAAATTACATTTTTTAGTTTCCTTTAACTTCGTTCTCTAACTAGGGATGCGACATAGACAACAACACATTAGTAATTAAAATAATTAATTTGAGAGTGACCGTGTTTAATTATTTATAATTAAGATTTAACTGACAATTTTAAAAAACGTATCCTGAAAGCGACTGTCATCTCAAAGAGTCCTTCAGTTCGTCAAAGCTTCCTCAGTTCGTTGTACGCAGAAGATCACGGGAAGAAAAGGAAGGCCCTTTTGCTTATGGCGGACGCCTTACTTCTTACGCTTTTTACGATTCTTACCTTTTTATATTGTTGAAATTAACAAATGACGAAATATTAAATTAGACTCCGTCGTTTCCTGACTTAAATGGGAATATCTAAAACGAATCAAAATGTCTTTCATCTTAAATTATTATCTCCCTCAATAAAAATGTTCTACACAAATGCTACAAATGCTATAGCATTGTTTTTAAAATGCTATTTTTTTTAAATTTAAAGTGCTAAATTTTACCATCACTAATTGTACGCTAATATTATAAAATATATTTATATACATTTATATTTAATTACATTAGTATTTACAGTATAATATAAATTATAATTTACATTATATTGTACATATTTTGAGTGTCAAAATTGAAATGAAGTATTGGATAATAGGCATTGTTTCCCCCTCCCCCTCGCAACGTGTGCTCACCTGTGCGGACTGCATGGCTGCGGGTGGAGCGGCTGGAGCTGCGCGGGGCGGCTGAGCGAGTGCCCTGTCGCCGGCGCCGCCCGCCTTTATACCGCCCGCGCTTTCGCTGCGTTTCCGCACGCGCCGGAAGAGACTCGGCCGCTTGCGAGACACGCGCCGCCTCACGAAATCGCAGCCAGGATGGCGCCGAAGGAAAGCAACTGGGCTGATCAAGAACGGCCTATTTAAAAGACGCAACCCTAGGAGTGCTAAGAAGGGAGGAGGAGGGCGACTCAATATTTTTTGTCGATATCAAGTTTTTTTATAAGCTGAAAATCATTGGAAAATATGATGCAGTTTATAACAAGCGCTTGTTATGATTTGTGGTTTTACAGTTTCTTTGGTTGTCAATAGAAATAAACCGAGGTTATTCATTCGAAAAATAAACATCCACAATATATTTTGGAGTGATTTGTAGCTTTTACGTCTTGTAACAAAATACTGTAATACATTATAATTTTATGAAGTTACATCAGCTTTCATTTGACACAAAATGTAGTAAGTTTTTTATTAAATAACAATAGTGATGTAACAATATGGATATTTTTTATATAGAGATTCGCAAATTCAATATTTAAAAAACATATAAATCAATGCACATGTATATAATTAGTTATATTAATGTATCAGAATCGACAAAAACATCAGTAAAATAAATAGGGATTCGATGGGCTACTCGAGCATCCCCCCTCGACCTGTTAAAGTACGAAATCTGTTTTACCTTGGTATTGCTATGGTTAATTGAGGTCGCGCTATGCAACGAAGTGAATGATCGAAAAGTTCTGCATTTGGTACTCGCAGGGATGCCGACGTTGATATGACTCCTGCCATCCTCGGAGGCGCGTGAGCTTGGAGCAGCGTCCAAATAAGCTCAGAACGCGAAGGCTGCGTGTACGAGACCCGTGAAAGGCAAGGGGATTTTCATCATGGGTTTGTCACGTGGTTGGATTTCCATATCTCCGTTTATCCCATTTGAATCAAGTACCATTCGCAATCATCCGTCTCTAAATCTCATTGACCTCTTATTGACCTCTCTCCTCTGCCACCATACACTGGATGAAAGACAACGGCAACCATCATTGTGATCGTCTACCAGGAAAAGAGAGGATAATAATGGCTAATACTTTTTACTCTGAATGAAGTAAGCCGTAAACATGAAAATCCAGTTTAGGAGATCGCCACGTCAACTGCTCTCCCAATTTACAAATGTTTTCCTCTCCTCACGTACTGTGTGAATCCTGTCTCTCGTATTATGCGCTAAGGCTGGATGACGATTTTTAACAGTTTTTAGGAAACCATCGACACAAAACCCTAAAAGTGTGTTAGTGGTGGATACGGAAATACTTTTCAGTTCTTCATGAAACAGATTTAAGAAGAAAAAAAAAAGTTTGTGGATTGTGAAATTTTAGGAGCCAGATGGAGGAAAGGCTGCCACTTACACACGGGATACATATTGCTCAGTAAGGAGATCAGGAACTAATTTACGAGAAATTATTTCAATTATAAAATATGGTCTTTACAGTTTCTTGATTAAGTAATTAAAACAAGTAATGTTGTATTAAATCGTTTAATTTAATGAGGTAAAGAAAATGGAGAAACAATGGGGAGATTTCGGGGATCACGAAGATGAAAGAGCCCTGGCTCAAGAAGGCTGTTCTTCGCTAAGTAAGATGAAACTTTCGTTTCTCTTTTTAAAGAATTACAAGAGACCAGATTGTGTTTCAAAGAGGGTAGAAATATGATAATTCCCAAAATAAATATAAAATCAGTACAAACGTTCACCTGCTAGGATTAATTCTTATATGTTAGATGCTCAGAACACGGATGACTATGTTTTGTCCTTTGTGAGTTTTGCCTGGATCGTTCACGCTTTCGGCTGATTCCAGATCCCATTCATACGTAGTGTGTGATTCGGGATTGGCTGCATTAGTGTGCAGCGGATAATTGTATTTGTTTAAGAGTAGTTCTAAGGAGAAAAAATGTCATAAGTGAATCTTGTATCTAGTCATTTCTGAACTCATTCTGCCTCTTACATCGGGAAACATCGTTTCAATAAAGCCGACTGTTCATTGATCCACCGTAGGTTAAATGTAACTAAGGCATATATTCTAGATTCTTGTTAGTTTTTTTCTCAACATTATACGGCAACACTTGAGTGATTTTCTAATACATGACGAATTTGGTGATGTAAATCAAATTCCAAACTCAATAATATTAGAATTCCAGAAAGCATTTGAATTACACAAAGTCCCTAAGGTGATTCCCATTGTGGTCGGAGCGCACGATTTCACAAGGCGCTACGGGCGTTGCCGCACAGATTCCTTCTCGCCGCCGCCGCCGCCAGTCGCGGACGCGACGCGTGGGTTGCTCCAGGCCGCTTCGTCCCGGCGCGCGGCAGCCTGTTGAAACCGAACTCATGGGAGACTCTTTTCCTCTGAATTGTGAACAGGCGAGCTTCTTTCTTCTTCTCTTATTTTCTTTATGTTTCGTTCTGTTGATGTCCGTTCTGTTGATGTTGTTCCTTCTGTTGGCGTTGTTCGTTCTGCTGGCGTTGTTCGTTCTGTTGATATTGTTCGTTCTGCTGGCGTAGTTCGTTGTGCTGGCGTTGTTCGTTCTGTTGATGTTGTTCGTTCTGCTGGCGTTGTTCGTTCTGTTGATGTTCTTGTCCCCTTTCGCCTTCTTTGTTCACATCGTTCTTGTCCCTTGTTTTTCTCTTTTCGATCCTTTAGGGGTTGTTGCCATATTCAACATCTCGGTGAAGCGAAGGCTGCTTGGTAAAGCAATTCTACTTCGCATTTAGCAATAGTGATGGCAGATGTGGATGCTGTACATAAAAAGTCGATGAGCTTTCTGATTGTTGCTGATGCCGTTTCTCTATTACGTACTTCATCCTTCTTCCTCGCGTGTCTCATACGTTCCTACACAACCTCGCCGTGTCTCATACCTTTCAACGAGAGTTTCTTTCCTTACTATTCTAGCAAAAATGAGCAGAGTGTTGGTAATATTTTTTCATCAATATTTTGTTAATTGCAAATAATTTGTATTGTAACATTTCTAATGGTACAGTTTTTACTTGTTTGCAAGGACTGATTTTTTAATGTTTTGAATTTTTCCTGGACAGCTATTTCGTTAGAACGTCTGTCTGGAGAATGTCACAAATTCCATCTCAAAGTGTGTGTGTGTGTGTTGCACGAGAACAAAGACGCAACGAGCGTAGCCATGCGACGTAGTTTGTTGCGCGTCAGACGTCCGCCCAGATACATTACCCCTAGCCTTGCATCACGTCTTGTCAGGCGTGTTCTAGTTTTACGCCTCATCGTATGCGCCGATCCTCCGCTCTGCCGCGCATCTCATCCCATCCCATTTCGTCTAATCCACGTCATGTGTCGCTTTCCGACCTTCGCTGAAGTGGGCGTGCAGATTCCTTCTCGCTACCCTGAGAGTAGCGTGTGACGACGGACAGGTTGCACCAGCGAGGTCCGGGAGCGCCGCCGCCCCGCAACGTTGCCCGCATCCTGTCCCTTCTCGCGCGCTTGCTTGCCCCGGCAGGCGACAGGTACACCAGTAAAATATCCGACTTCCTCTGGCGCACTTCACACACCGAATTCTAGCATATCTTTGCAACGCACGGTGTGCAGAAACTGCGTGGATATCGTAAACTCATTGCAAAATAGCAACTTTTGGCATATCAGACGAATCATTGACCTTGTTATGGGAATGTTCATAAAACCATTCACGTATTGGTCCGGATGTGTTCGCACTTACTGGGGTGGCGAGGACGCAACAGAAGCATCGAAGACTGGTAGGCTGTAAGTTCGAATCTTAACCGTGGCGGATGTTCGACGCCAATGAAGATTTAGGAAGACGGACTCCACTGCTTGGGAGAAGAATATAAAGGCTGGCTGTTGTGATCGGTCGATTCTGTTGTTTCTTTTGGTCAGACCAAATGGATGCCGGAGAAGTTCTACATTAAACAATGGAACACTGACCGCACGCGATTCTTATCTTTAGGACCCACGCACCATTTTGTTTTCATAAACCGTTAAAGCCAATGAATAAATGGTGCGTGTAGAATGCATGAAATTAAGTAGAAATATTTTAGTAGAAGTCAGGGGAAGTAAGTCAAGATAAGCTCTCTTGTATTGGGGTGTAAAATAGGCTGAAAAGTTGCAGTGTATTGGGTCAAGAATGTTTTACCTTAATCGTGAAACCCGGAGCCTCGCTGTCGAATTGAAAATGCGCGAGGAAAGTAAGTCAGATTGGCCAAATTAAATTTCCATTTTTGCCATGCTAATTTAATCCAAGTACCATACAACGTAATGAATCACTTCTCGTTATACAGCGCACACCACATTTGTTGTTTTTATCGACTTGATTTAGCTTTGTCAAAATAATATTCGCGAACTGGACAGTGTATTCATCCACCATTGCCACTTATGGCACATTCTCTATGGTGAAGAACGAATTCACTAGTTCTGCGAGGACGGAGACTAGGGCTGTAGAATCAATCTAAATAATTCATTACTGCAGTGAGCAATGTTGCGTTTTCATGATAACTTACCCTATCTGCCCATTGTCGTTAAAAACCAACATTTCATATCTCAAGTCATTGAGGGCTTATCGTAGGAAACCACCTAAATTTAATATCCCCTGAACATACCACAGTCTTTATCCTCTCTCCAGGCCCTGACTACCAGTGGCTGGCCTATTTTTTTCTCACATGTTACTTGTATGAGAGAACGCATATTATTTCACTTGGCGTCGATTTCATTCCTTCATAATCCATTTCATGTAATTTTGTTCTGTTCTTCCAATTCATATAAGGCTCGCAGGCAACTAGTACAGTAGGCCACCGCGGGTAATCTTGTTGGAAGTCTTGTGTTGGAGTAGCCCCATATTAAAGCAGGGATGCCCAAGTCTGCAGCTTGACGGCCCAGCACTTGATGGCCCAGCGCTTGTTGAAACAGTCCGAGAACGGCGGCTGGAGAGACACTGTTCGCAAAGCCGATAGAGGGGAAAGGAAGGGTGAAGGAGTATAATATCATGAAAAGGGAGTGGTTTGCGGGCCACTGCAGTGAATAGTCTGATTAGAATTATTGTTTTTGAAAAGCCCCTCGTATACACCCGCTTGAGGGTCGATGTTAGAGATGCGACATCGATAACGAAACCTCAATGTTATGAAGCACAGATGTTCAAAATTAAAACATGGATGCTAATAATGCATCTTTAAAAATATAATATTTCATACACTACACTTACGGAACTAATGACTATTAGTTGACGCGCCCCGAATCACATCAATCAATCAACAATGGTTAATACTGAACCCGGCAGACTGTGTGCTCAGGATCACCTCAGTCACTTCGCCGAAGAAGGCTACAGGGGTACATCGGTACATGTCACCGAAGAGGGGAGGCCCTGTGGGCATGCGTTGACCGCCTCTGCACGTGCAAAATAGTGAGATACATAAGAAATACGTAAAATATACCCGGACAACGAGATCACGTCGGGCGAGATATAGTCTATTCGATAATGGTAGTTCAAACAGCGTTCCTGGTTCGCTTTCATAAACGGACAGTGATATTTTCAGACATTATTCTATGTTTTAACTAATGTACACCGTTCTGCTTCGCCCTCGGAGTTTGTATAATTATAATTATGATTATGGTGGGAGTTTTTCATTCCCCAATAAACCATCGAAAACGTATAAACATCGAGAATAACACAGGATTTTAGAAAAACATATATTTTTATTATATCGTTGTTTAAAACATGAATGTTTCTTTTCAAACTCCGATGTTTTGAAAACGCACCCGTGGCAAGCGGGTGGC